TACCTGGACCATAAACTCACACTCGATGCTGTCAAGTTGGAATCAACTCATAGCTGACCCTCTGTTGGGTCTCTGCGGCTGTAAATCACACGAGATTGTCTACCTTCCTCCTGAGGAAGAGCTGGTAGGTTCTAACTGCCAGGGAGGCGTGGCCTCTGGGCCAGCATTGCAGCTCACACCAGAGTGGCCCATGAAAGTTAGGTGAATAAACGTCATTTTAGGTTATAACCTAAACTTCACCTATGTTCAGCCATGAACAGTCATGTTTTCATGAGAAATGGTATGTAAACAGTGTAGGCAGTTGGAGCGTGGCCAAGCTTGATGTTAACTTCACAAAGGGCGCAGTCCCCATCAGCAACATCCACGGTACAAAATCGATTCCTGTAAGGTCAGACATGGCAGCCACACTCTTGCACCTAAGTAATTCTATGGATTCTGGCTCCCGCTGTGCTGCTCCAGCATTGCTGGGTATCATCAGGTTGCCTCCAACTTAATGACCTTATGGACCGTGCCCTATTCTGTCTCATCCTTACCGTCTCTGATACACTGTTCACTGTTACAGACACTGTGTCGATCCATCTTGTTGAGGGTCTTCCTCTCTTTCTCTGACCCTTCACCTTTCCTTTCACTGGGCTTTCAAAGCGTGATGTCTTTTTCCAAGGACTAGCGCCTCCTGAAACATCCTGGCTGTGCTTCCTCCAAGACAGACTGATTCTTTTTGAGTCCGTGTGTGTTCGGTACTCTTTCGCAACACCACAATTCCATTCCGCTCTGCTACAGGATTCGAAATCCACTTCAATGGCCACAGATTTTAAAGACCTATACTCACGACTATGGGATTTTACTTAAAGGAAGTAAACAGGTTTCAATTCAGGCTGGCAACAGGATACAACTCCTCAGTCTGGACAGGTTCTCAAATGAACTTGTAGGCCCTTTGACCGTCAGCCTCACGGCGTAGATCAGCGTTACAGAGTTCTCTCAGTCCTGTCAATTATGGCGTCTTGTCCTAGTTGACGTCTGCTCCTCTGTACGCCCCTCTCTCGTTCTCTGCTGAGGCTGTTGCTGCTCTCCTGTAGATCCTTTCTGACTGACGGAGGAATCTGTGGCCTTGAAGCTCATGTGTTGCACTCTCTACTTCTTCTTTGTTGCCTGTTGCTAAACTTGTTCAATTTAAATTTGGTAGGATGGGCAAAACTGACTGATCCCATAATGATTAGATGATACCCACTCAGGTGGCAAAAGTCAAAGTCAATGGCTAGGAAAGCCATCTGGAGCAGACTTAGAACACAATAAGTGGCCTGTACAGAGCAGTTTTTAATTAACTGCCTGAGGGGTTCCAGTATGCTCAAACTGAGAATCCCTGGGGTTGGTGAGAAAATACTATTCTGGGAACTGAGGTGCTTGCTGGGGAGACCAGACCTAGAGAAAGGCATATACCTGATCCAAACTGTACTGTGTGTGACCCTAGAGTAAGTGGGTGACTTTCCAAGAGCCAGCAAGTGTTGGACAGAGGTTTCTGCAGGTTGACCACCTGGTCTCTTGGTAAGACTGAGGATATAAGGTTTAGTGGGAGTGCTCGCTGCGGCAGCACATCTACTAAAACTAGAGCAATAGCGAGAAAATTATATATATATATATCTCACAATCAATCCCCTCAAGTCCACTCCACTACGCAGCCTTCGTTTTTTGGGTTTCTTTTTTATTATTATTTATTTTAATAGACATTTACAGAGGTTTTGGATTTCCATTCATTCATTGCCTCATTTTTCTCCCTGCCCAACCCTCCCCACCAGCTCGCTGCCCCCTCCGAAGAGAAAAAGAAAAAAAAATTCCTTTATTAGTATACAATTCCCACGTCCCTTCCCCCCACCCCCCACCCCGAGTACACTTCTCTATGCAACCTTAATTCTGGATTCCTGTGCTAACCATAATACTCAATCATATATCACCTCTAATCTGTTCTTTCCCTCATCTGTTTCAATACAATATACATAATTTATCCAGTTTTTTCTGTCATACCTCAACCCTGATGTCAGACCCATTCTACCACAGTGGCACCATATATATAAGAAAAAAAAAGTTTAGTGGGAAAGACACTGCTTTTCACTGCTGAGAAATGGGCTAAGGCTCTGGCTAAGTTGGAACTGCTTGGATGACATGGGGAAAAATCCCTTAACCTTTCCCGATCTCAGTTTAGCATAAAAAAAAATGGGGAGTCACTGTTGAATTCCTCAATTAGGTGCTGCCTAATTCTAAAATTCCAAGACTCTACCAGCCACATATTTTCCCTTTTAAGACTTCCTATACTTCTAATTTCAGATAAATCAATGGTATTAATAAAGTGCCCATTATCCTGTCTAAAGGGAGTTCTGGTAGCTAAGTGGCAAGGAGATGCACTGACAACTCAAAGGCACACGGTTCAAATACGCCAGCTGCTCTGTGGGACAGAGATGGGCAATCTCCTCCCATGAGACTGATAGCCTCTGAAAACCCACTGGAAGGTCAGCTATGAGTCAGTCCTGTGTCAGTGTTACAGAACATCTTAGCTGGTCGCCGCCCTGGGAGCATAGTGTGCAATGTATACAGCTGCTAACAGAAAGTGCCTCCACAGGAGAAGCGGGTCAGTCTCCTCCCATAGAAAGATTTATAGCCTCAGAAACCCACTAAGGGTTGCTCTATGGCAGTGGTTTGGTTTTAGTTTATCCTACAGTAGACTGACATATATTTTAGTGGCAAGTATTAAATGACATTGGCTCTGCCTTCAAGAAGTAATTGAATATTCAAATCCAGTTTCAACCAACTTTTCATCCAGTGCTGTGTGCTCAATAGGCATTTGCTGGGCCTGTGGTTTGCCACCTAACTTTCCCATCCAACCGTGCTGTTGTTGCATGTCCTGGAGTTGGAACCAACTCACAGCCAACCCTCCAAGGGGTTTTCAGAGGCAGTCAATCACGCAGGAGATTGCCCCCATTCTTTTCCTGCGGAGCAGTTGGTGGGTTCACACTGCGTGCCTCTGGACTGCAACACAGCTTCTTGACCCGAGGCAATGAGAGCTACCCCCACCCAACCCTGTTGTTAGGTGCCAGCGAGCAGAACAGCTAACTTGTTCACAAAGTCATGGCGACCTTAGGAACAACAGATCAGAACCTGCCCTATCCTGCACCATTCTCGCAATCTCTAACACACTAGAGCCCATCGCTGCAGTCACAGCGTCAATCCACCTGGTTGAGGGTCTTCCTCTCTCTCATAGTCCCTCCATCTTTCCAAGCATGACGTCCCTCTCCTAAGGAATAGCCTACCTATCCAAAAGTACAAATAACCAGTCGTTTCTAACAAAGGAGTAAACTGATTCCCTGGGACACACTCTTATGGCTTGCGCAGGGATCAAGGCAGGATTTGAACCTGGGGCTTCTGAGTCCGTGTGTTGTGCTTTTTCAGGTACGATGGACCCGATGTGTAATGAAATGGTCTCTCCCGAGCAGCTGTGCAATTCTATGCACTAAACAGCTGCCAACAAGCCAGAGGCGAGGCGTGAGTATAGACTTTAAAACCCACTGAGCCGCGGGCGTGGAGGCACTGAGCTCCGGGGCGCGCGCCCCGCCTACGGGCGGACCCCAAGTCCTTACCCGGAACTTGAGCGCGGCTGGGCTGTGCGATTGGTGCGGGCGGCGGACGAACAGCAGACAAAATGCCTGCGACGAGAGTTTCACCGAAACGCCCCCTCGGTCTCTCCGGAAGGGGAGTTTATGGTCCTACAGCGTCTTTTTAGAATTAGCACCCTTGGCTATCTCCCTTCTACTCTCCTCCCTCGGAGTTATTTCTTCCCCGTGGCGGCGTCATCGGAATCCCTCTCGGTATACGCCTCGCCCTCCCCAACCCCCAGCCCTGACTGGCGGAGACCGGACCGCCTGCGTGAGCACTGCGCATGCGCCTCGGGGGGGGGCGGGACCGGGGAGGAGGGGGAGCGCGGCGCGCAGGCCCCGCCCCTGCGCGGCTCCACGCGTGACGTCGACGGGGCGCCGGCCCCGAGTGGGGAGAGCGAGCAAGTGGCTGGAGGGTCTGCGCTGCCAAGCGGGAAAGGGCTGAGGGCTTCCAGTTCCTGCAGGAGGGGGTCTGCGGGGCGAGCAGGGAGAGCTGCGGCGCACCACTCTCTGCTGACCGTCTAGCTGCGCGCTCCCTTCCTCTCTCCCCTTCCGGACGTTCCGGGACGGGACCCCCAGCATTTTCTTGCTGCTGGTCTGCAGGGGCTGAGCGTGTGTTTTCCCTGGCAACCTCCTCCCCGCACCCTGTATGTTAAGCTCCTCACCTTCCTGATGTTCCTTGTCTTCAGGTTGTCTCTTCTCGCGTGGAGTAAGATGGTAACACGGAAAGAGCACTCCATTTGGAAGCTGAAGACAAGGTTTCAAACCTTGGGCTTACCCACTCCTTAAGTTCTTGAGCCTCAGTTTCCCCCGCTCACAATATTTTTGCCCTGGGGTCGGCATAATACAGAAAAAGGAAAGGAACAATTGTTGAGTTCCTGTGTGACCAAGTACCATAAACACTTGCCAGATTTGAAACATTACGTGGCGTTCTTAGAATTCTTGGTTGACGCTGAGTTCACGTTGCCACTGAGTGGTGAAGGGGTTTTCAGACCTAGCATATCTTGGCCCCCAAACAGAACATTTTTCACTAGGCAGCCTTGACTTCCCGTTGTGTGGGCTCTGGCTGGGGATTTTTCAGCCTAACCCTAGCCCCAAAGCAGCTGCTTCCTATTTCTTCCACTGAAAATTCTCCCTTTTGCCAACACAGAGTGTTCTGCTTCCGTTTTGACTACTTCAAAAATAAAACACAGTGTTCATTAGTTGCTTGGTGTAAGGAATGAACGCTTGCAGTCAAGAATTTTGGATTCTTGTCCTGTTTCTGCCACTAATTAATTGGCTGTGTGCCCTAGGCAAGCCCCTTCGATTGCTCGGCATTTTAGCTTCCTTTTGAATAAAATGGATGAGTGCAGTAGGCTCTTGTCCACTTCATCCTCTCTGTCCCCCAGCAGGCTCTCCGTGGAGGCCCAGAACCCTCTGCTCCCCATGGGCAGCTGCCAGGCAGGGCATAACCTGTATGTCTGTCTGGCCCACCATCCACCTCTGGTCTGTGCCACTTTGATCCTGCTACTTCTTGGCTTCTCTGGCCTGGGTCTTGGCAGATTCCTTCTGACCAACCAGACTGGCCTGCGCAACCCTGACATCCCTCAGGTAAGTACGGTCCTGCCTAGCCTCCCAATTCAGTGTGTTCTTTCTACTACTCTGCTCTCACCCGCTTCTCACCCTCTTTGCACACAGGATTGGGTCTCCTTCTTGAGATCTTTTGGCCAGCTGACCCTGTGCCCTGTGAACGGGACAGTTACAGGGAAGTGGCATGCTTCTCACGTCGTGGGTTTGCGGACTACCTTGAACTTTGGAGATGGTCCAGACAAGAATAAGTCTCAGACATTCCAAGCCAAGGTCCTGGGTAGTCACATGGGACTGAAAGGTGAGCGGAGGGGAGAATGCTGGAGGCAAGCATCAGAACATGAAGTGTTGAGCTCTGTCTCTACCCTCACTAAACCCAGATCTCGAACATATCTCTAGATTTTAATCACTTCTGCTATAAGGAGAATCAGACACTTTTAGTGAATATGCACCCACAGTGCAGGTTATTTGGAAACATTTTATGTTTCCTCTTCTAGCCCCAAGGTTCTTTGATTATGTTCTTGGAGATTTGATTGGGTAGGTTAGACAGTGTTCTTTTTTTCCTCCTTCTTCATCCTCACAAGCAACTCTGGTTGCCAAGTCTGTGGGCAGTTGCGTTGCTGACCTAAACGGTAATATTTCCCTGGTGTGTCAAATCCACCAGTGGGTCTGAGGAAGAAAGGTGTGCAGTCTTTGTCTTCCCGAGTGATTTATATCCTCTGAAAACCCACTGAAGGGTCAGCTATGAGTTGGTTCCAACTTGATGGCAATGATCTTGACTTCTGACTTATCCTTTCAGCCTTCTCCTCTTAAGGATGCTACCTTATTCCTGCTAGGATATCAGAGAGTCACCTTCTTCTAATCAACTCTTGAGGGTCCACTTCTTCCTGTGGAGAACACAGAAAAAGTGCGACACTATCCATTTCCAGAGAGTTTTCTAGGGAAATGATGAGTGAATGATTCATTGGGTGTCATTAATTCCTATTCATTATTTGACCTCAAACTAGGAAGATGTATAAAGAAGGAAAGGTGGAATTTTCTGACTTTTGAGGTTATTTTATAATACCATCATTCCATTATGACTCTTCTGTCCACTCAGTATGTATATTTGTTGGTTTATATTTGAAGGTAGGTTTCTCTATGTCCAGATGTTCACATAATGTGAACAAAGGACAGGAAGAAAGGAATGTGTCTGATATGTACAGAATTAGAACAATTTTATCTTCTTTTTACTTTTGTATGTATGTATATGTATTGTAGCTTTGTTGAAGTGTAATTCACATACACAATTCACTCATTTAACTTGGATGCTTTAATATATTTATTGAATTGTTCAGCCATCATTGACTCAACTTTAGAACATTTTTTATCATCTCAAAAAGAAATGCCAAAAAAAAAAAGAAATGCCAGACCTCTTTGCATTCATTTTCTGTTTCAAGTTCTCAGTTCTAAGCAAACCCTAACCTAAGTTCTGTCTTCTTTGATTTGCCTGTTAGAGACATTTTCTATAAATGGATTAATAATACGTGGTCTTTTGTGTCTGACTTCTTTCACTTAGGGTGATGTTTTCAAGATTCATCCACATTGGCCAATGTATCAATATCTTATCCTTTCTTACAGTGAAATAATACTCCATTATAAGGAAATACTACATTTTATTTACCCATTCATCAATTGGTAAATTAATTTCCATTTTTTGGCTATTATAAATAATGCTGACATGAATATGTGTTTTCATTTCTCTTGCATATGTGCTTAGGAGAGGAACACTAGATCAGATGGCAACTTTATGTTTAACCTTTCAGTGGACTGTGATGTCGTTTTCCAGAGTAGCTGCACAATTTTGTATTCTCACCAACAATGCATGAAGGTTCAACTTTTCCCACATCTCTACTGAGGTAATAGGAGCAGGTGTGTCGAAGATAGTGAGATTGGCTCAGGATAAGACCAGGTTCAGGACTCTGGTGTATAGGGTCACTATGAGTCACACGCCACTCAATAGCCCGTAACAACAAAAACGTTAACCCTAATGGCGTCTCTTATTGACTTTAGTCTCGGTGGTGGTGGTGGTGGTGGTGGTGTGTGCCGTCGAGTTGGGAATGACCCATAGCTGATCCTCCAAGGGGTTTTCAGAGGTGGTAAATTGCATGGGAAGAGATTGCCCATTCTCCTGCAGAGCAGCTGGTAGATTCAAACCATGTGCCTCTGAGATTGTAGTGCAGCTTCTTACACGAGGCCATCAGAGCTCCCTAAGTGAAGTATCCCATTAGGGCTTTGATTTTCATTTCTTTCATGGATAATGATGTTGAACATCCTTCTATGTATTGATCAGCCATTTGTATATCTTCTTTGTGTTTGGGCTCATTGTCCTTTTAGTGTTGAGCTATAAGACTTCTTTATATATTCTGAATGTAACTCTCTTATCAGATTTATGATTTCCAAATATGTTCTCCTGGCCTCTTAATGGTAATATCCCCCTTCTAATTTTGGGGTTTTTTTATATTGTGATTTTAATAAAATTTTACAGAAAAGTTGGAAAATCCTTGTTGAAAATCGATTAGCCACAACTATGAACATTTATTTCTGGGCTGTCGGTTCTAGTCTACTGATTGCCCATCCATAAGCTAGCACCACACTGTCTTGATTACTGTTACTTCATAGTAATATGTTTTGGAATCAGGAAGTGGGAGTCCTTTGTTATTTTTCAAGATGATTTTGGCAAGCCTGGCCCCTCAAATTTCCATATGAATTTTTAAAATAGTTTGTCAATTTCCATAAAGCTCTATTCTTTTTCATAATGGCCAGGGTGAAGAAAAAAATAACATCTAAGAGTATTTTTAGAACAACCAGCGATACAAGATCAAAAAGGCAGCATTTGCCCAGGCATAAAGCTAAGAAGACATAAGGCTAAAAGGATTACTGGAAATGAGAATCATAGGGAGGGAAAGGGTACAGTTGCATTGTGGATATTGTCATTAATATAGAACAAAATGTGTAGTTATGGTTAAATGGAAGACCACTTTGCTCTATAAATTTAATGCAAATCACACTTTAAAAAACCCCCAACAGATCAGTATTGGAGAAAGCTAAAAATAAATCACCCATGATTATACCATCTAAGCAACAATTACTGAGCACCTACTATGTGCAGCGCTCAGGTGGCATAATCTGTAGCAAGCAGCACTGCTACCCCAAAGCAGCATGTCTCTTGGGGTTCAAATCCACCAGCAATTCCACTGGACAAGGATGAGCAGTCTTCTCCCATTGTGTTTCAGAGCTTGGAAAACCTGACAGAGTCATTATGAGTTAGGGTTGACTGGATGGCAGTGGGTGTGAGTTCTATTTTTTACTGTGTCTCAAGCATGGAGGATACAGAGATCTGTAACACATGGGCCCTCTCCTGGAGTTGCCCACAATAGAACATGGATACAAGTGCAAATAGAAGTAAATACCTCTCATTGTGTGATGTGAAATACAGGGTACAGTGGAAGGTTACCAGAAGCTGTAAAGCAGGGTTAGGTAGGTCAGGGTTCACCCAGAATATAGTTCCTGGACTAAGGACTTAGGAGTTTGCTGTTCTAGTCAGAGAGAATGGCATTTGCAGAAGCTCGGTGGTGGGAACCATGGTGGCCTGTTTAGGAGCTCCCAAGGGGTCCATTTGGCAGCAGATGAATGTGAAGCAGCAGACAGAAATCCACGAGGGTCTTGTGTGCTGTGCCTAGGTATCCTTAACCAGGAGAGTCATAATTCTGCTTGCTTGGTTATTTTGAAAGATTACTTTGTTGGCCGACTAGCAGAGAGAGGCTGTCCAGATGTGGGAAGACCGGGTAGCTGAGTGGTTTGGTAAAGAGATGAAGAGAACCTTAGCTCAGGCTGGTGTGAACGAAGGAAGCTCATTTTAGACCACAGAAATGTGAGGTGGACAGGTTTGTGACTTGATTCCATCTGGAGAATGGAGAAGGAAAGAGAAAAATTAGGTTTTAGAGTTTTGGCTGTATGTTTTTCAGAATGGCAGTGGGGCAAGGAGCAGGGGTCCAAGTGCTGTCCTGCTAACTGAAAGGTGGGCATTTTGAACTCACCAGTTGTTCTGAGGGACAAAGATGTGGCAATCTAAAAAAAATGATGTGGCAATCTGCTTCTATACAGGTGGACAGCAGTGGAAACTATGGAGCAGTTTTGCTTTGTCCTATAAATAGCATCAAGATAAGTAAAAATTCATTTAACAGGCATTTGTATATTTTTTACTTATAATTGTTTTTTCCCTTTTGCTGTTGCAATATTATAATTTTTTTATTTTATTATTTTTTTGTGTATGTGTGCTGTCAAATCGGATCTGACTGGTACAGGAGGAGATTGCCCCTCCTTCTCCATCAGAGCATCTGGTGGATTTGAACTGCGTACCTCTGGGATTGCAGTGCAGCTTTTTTCAACTAGGCCACTAGAGCTCCCTGTATTATAATTTTTTGTATTATAATTTTAATAGTCTAAATAGTTCTTTAAATGCCAAGGCTGTCATTTTAATATTTCTTCTATTATTAAACATAGCAGTATTTCTTATTTTTTGTTTTATTGGTAAAATCACAGTGAATATCTTGGTATTATTTGCTTTTTATTTTGGCTTTGTTTTTTTTCTTCTTGTATACCAACAATCTGACAGGCCCAGAAAGAGACTGCCCCTCCTTCTCTAGCGGAGCATCTGGTAGATTCGAACCATGCACCTTCAGGATTGCAACACAGCTTCTTGCTACTAGGCCACCAGAGCTCCCTGCTTTTTCTTTTAAAATCTTTCTTTAGGACTAATTTCTATGAGTGGTACTGTTAACTAAAAGGACGGGAGTCTGTTTTTATATACACATTCAGAATTTTATTGTGCATTCAGAAGTATATAGAGCAGATGTGAAAAAATGTGAAAAACACCATCTCACTTCCTCTCCAGAAGGGATTGTCCACGGTTTGGTGGCAGGCTCTTATTCCCTTTTTGTGCCCATTTAAATTGCGACAGATATAGCCAATTGTCTTCTAAAATGTGTCATCAGATGTAAGTGCCTATTACCTCACACCTTCAGCAACTCTCCTTTTTGTCTGTCTTTTTAATTTTAACCAGCTTAGTAGACAAAGGAATTACCAAATTGTTTTAATGATGATCTTCTGATTGCTAATGATAATTGCTAGTGAGCGTTTTATTACAGGTTGTGGCCATTTTCATTTTGTCTATGAATTACCTATTCATATCATTTGCATGAAGGAGCTCTGTTGGCATAGTCCGTAAGGATTTGTACTGCTCACCCAAAGGTCTCCTCTCTGATGGTTCAAATCCACCAGCAGCTCCACAGGAGAGATGGGCAGTCGCCTCTCTGCTGCCTTCTTTAGTCTCTTCTCTGTCTCAAAAGAGATTGACTCTCATCCTGCCTCATCAGTATCATATAAGTTATTGTTACAATGTTCTGTGGAATCAGAACTGCCTCATAACTGACCCTCCAGTGGGTTTCCAGAGGCTGTAAGTTGCATATGAAGAGATTGCCCATTTCCCCACCCCCACCCTGTGAAGTAGCTGGTAGATTTGAATCACATACCTTTGGGTTGGCAATGTAACTCCTATATTCATTAGACTACTAGAGCTCCTTATCATATAGGTTAGGACTTAACATACAGATTATGTCTATAATGTATTTCCTCCTCTTTGACTCTGGTTGTTGGTACATAAATTTGAATGATAGTGGTATTAACAGGTCTTCCTTGTATGTGTATGGATATTATCCTGTCACTCACAATATTGTATTTCAAGTTGGATCTAGAAATCGCCTTTTTAACTATGAAAGCGACCCCGTTTTTTCTCATCTTGTTCTTTTAACTTGTGTAGAAAACTTTTGACTTTCATATGGTCAGAATTATCAATCTTGCCTTTTTTAATAAAAGCTTTAATTAGCTTTTGTGTCTTTCTTAAAAAGGCCTGCTTTTGGCCCTGAATCAAGGCCAGCAGTTTGCTGGTTCTTTTGGTTTCAAGCAGGAACCTGAGAAAATATCTTCCTATGGTCTATTTGCCATTTCAGAAGTCTGGAAATGGAATGGTCAATTCATTGAAAAGAAACAGCAAAACAAAACAAAAAAAAAAAAAAAGAAGGTGGCACCCCACTTTATCCTGAAATTACAAGACTATTTGTTGGTACTTAAAAAAATTACTGTGTTGCTGGCCTAGTGGCAAGAAGCTGCACTGCAATCCCAGAGGTACAGGGTTCGAATCCACCAGATGCTATGCTGGAGCAGGAGGGGCAATCTCCTCCTGTACCAGTCAGATCGGATTTGATGGTACACACACACAAAATATTAAATTTAAAAAAAATTATTGTGGTGGAAATATGCACATCAAAACAGAGCTCATCTCAGCAGTTTCTATGTCTATAATCAGTGACATTGATTGCATTCAAGTTATATAACCATCCTCACTAGCCTTTTCCAAATTGCTATCCCTTCATTAACATAAACTCAGTATCTCTTGGTAAAAGCTGCTTTTTTACTCCCTCCTTCCCACACTGATAACTGTTAATAATAGTTTATTTCTCTGTATTTGCTTATTTCATGTAAGTATAATATTTGTCTTGTTGCCACTGATATCTTGGGCTCAGCATCAGGTGGCTAAGATTTATCAACATAGTAGCATGCATCAGGACTTGATTCCTCTTTAAGGCTGAGTAGCATTCCTTTGTGTGTAGTCATGGCATTTTGTTTATTTGTGAATGAGTTGTAAGATATTTCAGTTGTTTCTACATTGTAGCTGTTGTGAAATGTGCGGCAGTGAATGCTGCTGTGAAGGTTTCTATTTGTGGTCCTGCTTTCACTTCTCAGTGTACAACTAGGATCAGGATTGCTGGGCCATGTGGTGATTCTGTGCTCAACTATTTGAGCAACTTCCTAACTATCTTTCACAGTGGCTGCTCCATTTTAAGTACTCATCACCAGTGAGTGAGGCTTTCACTTTCTCCACATCCCCTTCAGCACTTGTTTAGACCTTGACTACCTTAGAGGGTAAGATGGTATCTCACTCTGGTCTTGATTTGCATCTCCTTAATGGCTAGGAAAGGAGAGCTGCTGGCATAGTCTGTAGGGAGCTGTGCTCCTAATCCAAAGGCCACATCTCTCTGACAGTTCAAATCCAGCAGCGCTCTTCAGGAGAATGATAACAGACATTCTCTTCCCATATGATTTGTAACCTCAGAAAATGAATGGGGGGGTCAGCTCTGGTTGGTTCCAACTCACCAGCAATGAGACGGGAATGGCTAATGATGTTAAGTATCTCTTCATGTATTTGTTGGCCGTTTGAATATTCTCTTTGATGAATTGTCCAAGTTTAATGCCCTTTTTTATTATGTTCTTTGTCTTTTTGCTGTTAAACTGTTGTTTAAAAAATGTATTTTGTGTGGTTTGAATCCACCAGATGCTCTGCTAGAGAAAGAGGGACAATCTCCTCCAGTATGACTCAGATCCGATTTGACGGTAAACACATACACACACACAACTACACAAATTTTTTTTAAAAAATGTAATTTGCATAGTAGACTCTTGTATGTTTTGAGAATCTTTTTCTAATCTCTAGGCTGTCTCTTTTCTTTTTTGGAAAGTTGAAAGTCCTTTGATGAAAGAAAGTATTGAATTTTTAAGCATTTCCATTCATCTCTTTCTTTTTGTGCTTATATCTGCATCTGGTAATTCATTACTAAAAACTAGGCCCTGCATCCCCACACGTTGTTTTCTTCCAAGAATTTTATAGTTTTAATGTTCAGTCCTTGGAGAAGGACCTCATGCTTGGAAGGGTAGAGGGATAGTGTAGGAGAGGGAGACCCCAGATGAAATGGATTGATACAGTGACTGAAGTGATAGGGGTTTGTGTGTCCGAATGAATGACACTGGCTGAGGACAGGGAAAGGTTCAGAGCTGCTGTACCTAAGATCGCTATGCATCACAGGTGACTCAACGGCACGTAAAAACAATAACATAACTATGACAGGTTTTGGAAGCACAAGTGGCATCCACTTCCTAAACAACATGCCTTCAGAAACTCTATGAACTTTGATAAATGTCCATAGTTAGAGAGGGCTTCAGGCCTGTGTTCATAGGGTCTCTATGAGTTGTGCTCAACTTGAAGGCAATCAACAACAACAACAATGTTCATATTTAAGGAGCCCAAGTGCAACAAATTGTTTAAGCACTTGGCTGTTATCCAGAGGGTCAGTGCTTCAATCCACCCAGCTGCTCCAAGGAATAAAGATCTGATAGTCTGCTTCTGTAATGATTGTAGCTGAGAAAACTTCCTGGATCTGTTCTGTCACATGGGGTTGCTGTGAGTTAGAATCAACTCAGTGGCACCCAAGAACAGTTTGCAGGTAGGTTCTTGATCCATTTCTAATAGGTTTTTGTGCATAGTGTAAGATTTAGATCTTGAGTCATTCATCTGCATGTGGAAACCAATTTTCCAAGCACCATTTATTGGCAAAACCCTTCCTTATTGATTAGACTGAGGTGCCCTTGTTGAAAATCAGTTGACCTCAAAATGGATTTCTGAACTCTCAATTTGTATCCTGTTCTTCTTGTTATATCCAGTTGGAACTGACCCACAGCTGACCCTCAATAGGATTTACAGTGACAGTAAATCGCCCAGGAGGAGAGCAGTTGGTGGATTGGAACGTCCTATTTATTTAGGCCTTCTTTCATTTCTTTTAGGAATGTTTTATAGTTTTCTGTGTGCAAGTCTTTCATATAAATGGTGATATTTCCTTAATTTCCTTTTCTTCTTGCTGATATATAGAAACTCTGTTGACTTTTATGTGTTGCTGAACTCATTAGTTTTGATAGCTTTATTGTGTATTGTTATCTGTGAGAAAGGATTTTAGTTCTTCCTTGGTTTATTTTCACTTCATTTGCAGTTTAGAGACCTTTTAGGATTTCTTTCCCTAGCTTAGTTGCAACACTAGCTAGGACTTTGAGACAGATAACTGAATACAACCTAGTTATAAGAAGTTGTATCACCCAGAGTCACATAGTCTCCTGACATGCTATTTACAGCTTCTGAAAACCTGATAGAGGGTCAGCTATGAGTTAATTTTGATTCAGCGCAACATTAACAATTGAGTACTTGTGGTATGACCCGTCTTGTTCTTGATCTTAATGAGCAAGCTCTCAGTCTTTCTGCATTGAGTGTGATGCTAACAGTGGGTTTTCTGTAAGTGCTTTTATGATTTCTTTTAATACTTGTTAGTGTTTGGCTTGGTTTATTTTCATTTATTTATTTATTTATTTTATTTATTTGTTTGTATAGCTCTTTACTACATCTGGACTTTATTTGGTCTACGGTGTGAGATAAGAGACTTAGTTTTTTTTCCTTATGGAAATTGTCCCAAGGCCTTTTACTGAATAGGCCATCCTTTACTCACTAATTTGAACTGAAGTATGAATTTGTTAATACATTTTCGTACTTAGTGGAAACTGCTTTCTTTTTCTTTTTCTTTTTTTAATTTTATTTTATTATTTTTTGTGTGTACCGTCAAATCAGACCTGACCGGTACAGGAGGAGATTACCCCTCCTTCTCCAGCAGAGCATCTGGTGGATTTGAACTGCGTACCTCTGGATTTGCAATGCAGCTTCTTGCCAGTAGGCTACCAGAGCTTCCTGGAAACGGCTTTCTTAAAAAGAAAAAAAAAGTTTATGCAGACTGACATTAGCAATGTGTACCTGCCCCACTTTCACCTTTTTCACCACAGCATTGCTCATGTTGGCATTATTGTTTCATTTATTGGAGACTAATTTTTTGTTCAGATAGGTACATAGTTATTTTTCTTTCTCAGTGATGTAAATTATGGTAGATAGAATACTTCTTTGAATAGAAATTTTCTTTCATGTTCTCTCCTGGGCCTCTTACAGGATCTTCTGCAGGCGAGCTGGTCCTCGTTACAGCCAGAGTGACCACAGAAAGAACTCCAGGGACCTGTCTATATTTTAGTGCTGCCCCAGGAATCCTGCCCTCCAGCCAGCCTCCCATACCCTGCTCAGAGGAGGGCATAGGAAATGCCACTCTGAGCCCGATGATGGCTGAGGAATGTGTCAGCGTCTGGAGCCATGAAGGCCTCGTCCTCACGAAACTGCTCACCTCTGTAAGAACCCCTGGCAGTAGGTGCCAGCGTTTCATAGGCTGCCAGACTCCCAGAGGGGAGGCAGTGCAGTCTAATCATCCACTTTGCGATTTGGTCCCCGTAGATGGGGTGAACTTTGAGAAAATAGTTTTTCTGAGCCCCAGCACCTTTATCTGTAAAATGGAAAATGTGATACTATTTCCTGATAATACCAGCAAATAATGATCAAAGGAGAATGGATTTAAAGTGCCCGGGTCCGAGTCATGGCACAGAAAAAAAAAAAGTGCCCGGGTAAAAATATCTGGTAAATAAAACAAGTTTGATGAATGACAGCTACTACTATTAATTATTGTCTTTAAATACAGTAGAACATGATCTTTACCTCAAAGGAATTCAGAAACTGTAGTCAGAGGCAGAATGGGCTAATTGCAATGATAGAAATGTGAGTAGAGTGTTTTGTAAACACAAGGTAAAGAGCAGTGAACTCCAACTTGAACATTTATGAAGAGGACTTCACAGAGAAGGTGGTATTTAGAAAGAAAATTGTGTACAGTAGTTTATAATGCACAAAGTATTTTCAGGTTCATTACTTCATTTGATCTTAAAATAGCCCTTTGAGGAAGGTGTTATTACCCCATTTTACAGATGAGGAAATAGCTTTAGAGAGAGGGAGTGGATTGCCCTAGGCCATACAACTGGTAAGTGGCAGAGACTTTTGACTCTTAGTCCTTGTTTTGCTGGGGCCTGTTGATCCCTGAAGAATAAGGAAGATTTGGGTAGGAAATAGATTAGAAAGGATTCAGAAGAGAGGAGATAACATCGCAGGCAAAGGCTTAGAGATTTAAAAGTGTTGAATCTTTGAGGGGACTCTGATGAGTGGCTTTGGAATGTTTAGGAGAGGGATCAGGAGAGACCGCAGGTTCCTAATGATGAGGGACCATGAACACCAGGCTTAGATGCTTGACTGGACACTGCAGACTGTGGGCCACCACAGGTTTTAAGGAGAGAGAGTGAGAGGACCTTCACTGGTGCAGGGCGGAAGTTGTCCCTAGCAGAGGAGGGAGACCAGCTGGGAGACTGCACCATGCTCTTACCTCAAAATTGAAAAGGTCTTGGTGAGGGAGGTGATCTCAGAGCTTGGAATAAGTGAAGTCCTGGGCTCCAGACCTGGCCCTGCTTCTGCGTTTATAAAATGTGAGTAATAGTGAACTCTCCTATCTCATGGAGGTATTATGGGCACTCAAGTCGAGTCATGGGATGGGTTTTAAAAAAAGCAGTTTCTAAACCTTTGAGACAAATGTTAGCTTGTGTATAAAGAACAGTTTCCCTTTAAGGTTAAATACAGAGTACCTTCTCCTTCACAGCAGCTTCTCTCTGTAGCACTTGAATTGAGGGTAGAATGTCTTCCATCCTTTTTTCACGGTCCTTCTGCCCCTCTTTTGCTACTTCCAGGAGGAGCTGGCTCTCTGTGGCTCCAGGCTGCTGGTCTTGGGGTCCTTCCTGCTTCTCTTCTGTGGCCTTCTCTGCTGTGTCACTGCTGTGTGCTTCCACCCACGTCGAGAGCCCCACTGGTCTAGGACCCGGCTCTGAGGAGACTGGCCCAGTTCCCACTTGTTCTCAGGTGAGGTTCTTTGGCATAGTCCTTTGGAAGTAGAGAATGGGGTGTGGGTCAGAGTTATAACTGGGACACAACAGGTGCTTAGCATCCATTCTCAAATATTGCTTCTTCTGACTCATGGGAACCCTGTTCAACTGTAACTACCCCTTGGCATGGAACAATTTATACCATCAATATTCAACATCTTCCTCCTTCTTTTAACTTTCATGCTATAAAATAAGTGACACTTACATAGAAGAGCCTACAGAACCTAAAAATATAGGTGCACAAATTATTATAAAGCAAACATTGTTTTAAACCAGTCAGACAAAAAAGTAGAATATTACCAGACAGCCCTGAAAACACTCTCTTTCCCCTGTTGTTGTTATTGTTGATTGCTACTGAGTCACGTACGACTCAAAGCGACTCCATGAACAAAAGACCTGAGGGCTTTCTATAACTCTCTTTTGTCCAAGCTCATAGAGTTTCCAGAGGCATGTGGTTTAGGATGCCATTTGTGCTTCCCAACCTGTCTTAAAACTGGGAGCTCCACCAAACACTGTCCACCATGGGCAGCCATTATGGCATTTGAGACCCCAACGGTACAAGGTTCAGCATCACAGCAAACCCAGATTACCTCATTGCAACAAATTGACAAAAGAGTGTTGTACGACTTAGAAGAATGTTCCTCCAAAATAAAGTAGCAAAGGATTAAAAGATAATCCCTTGGACCCGACTTATTAATATAAGGGCCAGGAGGTTTTGTTGACTCTAAACAAGAGGCTTTAGTAATAATAAAAAAGAAAGAAAAACATTCCACAATCACCCTCAACCAAAACAAGAGAGCGTATCTTACACAGTCCAGTCGCTTCACCCAGTTTCCAGATGGAGACAAGGGCTTGGCCTTACGGGTAACTATTATCTTGCTATGGAGTCTCCGACCACTCTGCATTTCTAAACAATATAGTTTTGTCTTTTTGATGTTTATATAAGTGCAGGTATAGAGCATGTACTCTTTTGTGACTAGTTTACATCCTGGCAATAGTTTACATCTGAGCTTTTAAAAATATTTGTGAGTCCTAAGAATCCCACATAGATTGTGTATGTGTGTGCAGGTAAGGACTTGTGCTGCCAGCCCAAAGGTATGCGGTTTGAATTCACGGGCTGCTCCCCAGTAGAAAAAATGGGCACTTTTCTCCTGTGCGGTTTTCCTGCCTCTCAAAACCTGCTGGAGGGTCGGCGCCAACTCGATGGTGGTACTCCACTGCTGTGTGCCTGGGCACTTAGATGTACCTTTTCTTTGCTGTTTAACCATCACTGTCACTCCATTTAGGAAAAGTTGGCTTTAATAACAAGGTCTTTTGCAGAGGTAACAGTGAGTGAATGAACATGTTGGCTGACAGGTTCACGTGTTAGCTTAGTAGGAATAACATTTCTGGGGGTGAAAACACTGTAACAGATGGCTCTGGTGTTCTGAGAACACATATGATGCACAAATTCAAACTCATTGCCTTCAGGCCGGATCCAACTCATAGCGGACCCTCCCCTGGGTTTTCTGAGGTGGTAAATCGCAAAGGAGGGAATTGCCCTTCTTTCCCAAGTAGGTGCCTTTGGATCAGCAGTGCAGCTACTTATAGACTATGCCGCCAGAGCTCCCTACATCTGATGCACCAGCCCTTAAACATGTCCGCCTCAGCTGGCTGCTGTGTCCAGGAAATAATTGGGAGAAATGGAAATAGCTCAGGCCCAGGGAAAGGCTATAGACTAGAGGAACCGGAAGCTCAAGATCCACTTTGCTTATTTCACCATTTTGCTTACAGCTTGATTCTCCAACCACCTACTTGGGACAGGAAGTGGTGGACCCTCTCAGCATTTCTTACATATGAGTCAACTGGGAAGGAAGACTTTTCTGGTCCCTGGTAGGCCCTGAGGCCATCCTGACTGTGACCAGTGCCAGCTCCTACATGTATTTTCACTCCTCTGTTCGAACCTTCCTCGATTTCCCCTGTCATCCCAGAGCACCTCCCCAGGCCCCCTTTTACAGCCTTGTGTTTTACTTTTCTTTCTCTGTCTCTTCCCTAGGTCTGAATCAAGTTCTTGGGCCTTGGTTCTGAGTTGGAAGAGATGCTACAAAAAGTGAAGAGCTGGGATGTGGAAGAAAATAAAAGACTTTTTATTTCCCCCTTTGTTACTGAGGTGTTACTTGGTGATTTAGGTTGAGATGAGAATTTTAGGGTAGACAGATTTAGGAACTTTAGGACATTTTTTTTGTCTGGGAGTTGAGCTACAAGTTGGAATCTTCCTTTTTCACTTTCATTGGGCCGTGGATAACACCTGGTTTTGATTCCAACTTCGATACTTGATGTCTTCTTTTCTTCTATGGAATAAGTCATGTGAGTCTGGCAATGGAAGGAAGTACTTTGACATAAATACAGTGTGACCTTGGGCAGGTCATGCAAATCCTCATGCCCTCGCTTTCCGAAAGGGATTTGACCTACTGAGTTTTTCCAGCCAAAATAACCCAAAACCTGTCAAGATTCATCGATTTAGGAATGCACAGCCTGGCTGGACGGTTATCAACTTCAGAGCCGTCCATTTTCCCGCCTTTTCGGCGCCCAGCAGCAGCCTCCTCGTACCCCTCCCAACCTCAACGCCGGGCGCAGGCGCAGAACGCCGAGTCCCCCTCCCGTTCACCCGCGCCCCCTCAAAGCTTCCCCTAGCAACAAGCGCGAGCTCCGCGCTAAGGCGGTGCGGACGCATGCGCCCCAGCCCTCTGCGCGGCCAGTGTCTGACCGCGCGCCGGACTCCTCCCCCTCCACGATTAGCCCTTCACTCCTCCTGCGTCCGCGTGGCGGGGCGCGCGCTCACTCAGCCTCGGCGGCGGCCCGGCTCCCAAAAAGCAGCGATGAGGAGAGAGGGGCGGGGCCGCCTCGCCTTGGGGCTCCGCCCACTTTGACCCGGCATCCTTACCGCGCCTGCGCGCTCCCGCCCGGTCTCCATCTTGGAATTGGGAGGAAGAGGGAGAGGGAGATCGGGACGAGACCAGGGCTCGGTTGCGGAGGGAAACTGAGACGGAGACGAGGAGAGGGAGAGAGGGCGCGAGGACAGCCGGCGGCATCTTACCTACTATTGTCCCGCTATCCTCGAGAGAGAGAAGAGGCACGGGAGGAGGCTGGGGCGGGAGTGGGGGCTGTCACCCTCGGATGCTGGTGTGAGAGGGGCCGTGCGGCCGGACGTCCTCGGGTTGGGCCCCCTGTTGGTGGCGGAAGACCCGGGGCTCAGCCACCTGGGTCCCGAATTGCCAGGCTTGGCCCCTCGCGTCTCAGATATCCGGCATCAGCCCCTCCGATTCCAAATATCCGGGGTTCGGGTCCCAACCTTTCTAAACCTAGGGCTCTGTTGCATAGCATTTCAGCTATTTGGGGTTCGGCCCAGACTTTTAAATACCAGGTGCAGTCCCCTTGCGCTCAAATATTCGGGGTTCAGACCCCCACAATCAGAAACCCAGAATTCAGCAACTGTCGCCCTCGAAGAGGAGGAGGACTGGACCGCGAGGTCCTATCAGGTTGTCACCCCCTCCCCACCAGGGGAGGCTTCCCGGGCCCACCCCTCAGGAAGGGCGAAAGCGGAGGAAGAGGTGGCAAGGGGAAGGGTCTCCTTGCCCCTCACCCTGCTCGGCAGAGCCGCTGGAGGACCCCAGGAGGAGGCGGAGGCGCTGGGGCACCATAGTGACTCCTTCCAGGTGAGAAGCGGGGTGCCGGTCTCTGGGATGAAGGGGTGCTCCCTTCTTAGAAGCTGGCCTCGGGTCAGGATGAGGAAGCCCGGCGAGGCCAGTGGTCAGCCTCTGGCCAGCCTTGCCTTCTGTTGCCACCTTCATCCCTTTGCCTTCATTGTGTCTGGTTGGAGGCGACCTCAGGTGACAGGGTCTCCTGTATCATGGCCGGGGGGGGGGGGGGGGGGGGGTTGAGCTCATTCTCGGATTTGCACCCTTCTGGTCTGCTGCCTTGTTGTGCCTTTGCCTCTTACAAGTACATCTCCTCCGTGATTCAATCACCCCCCTTTTCCTGACTCTTCTGGAGCATTGATTCTCAGACCTCTGATCCCTATGGTGTGTCCAGATCTACATAATTGCTTCTCAGGCCCGGTTCTGTTGGGCTTTTTTGCCCTTTGAAAGAAAATGTATGAGAGAGAGAAATAATAAGCTAGGAAGAGGGAGGCATGCCTGGCGATACTTTCCCCCAGTGGCTCTCATCCTGCCCCTTGTTTTGGTGGGTTGTCCAGATAAACTCATACAATTTTTTTCATGTACTGTTTCCAAAGTCCTTTTACCCTCATTCCATCAAATGACCCCCCCTTGACACATTCACCCCCTGGGGCCTCTTTAGTGCCATCTTCCCACTTTACAGTTGGGAACGTTGAGGCCCAAAGAGGTTGCCCAAGGTCACACAAGTGGCAGGGTCAGAATCAGAACCCCAAGTCTTGACTCGGGTCCTAGCCCTGCTCCGGCTCCCTTCTCCCCTGAGCCTGGGCTTGTCAGGGGGGCCAGAAGATAACGAGTTGGATCGAGGTTTAGGAAGAGGAGTTGAAATGAGCTTCCTAGTTTCTAAGAGGACTCCATTCCAGCTTTTTCTAATGGAAGCCTTTGACTCCTGCTTGCTCGTGGATTTCTCGCTCTGCTGTGACCTTCATCTTTACCCTGATCTGAAATGTTGGCCCAGGATCCTGAATAGACTCTTTTGTCAAACAAGAGGCATAGCCAAGCTGCTGGGGTAGGATAACTCCCAAAGGATTAAAGTAGCTTGATGACCCTGGAGAGAGAAGGGAAAATCCATATGTTGAGTGTCTGCTGAGTGCTCCTTTTTACAGAAGACCAAGTATGAATAAACTTCCCCAAAGGCCTGTTGCTGTACCTTGCTGATGGGCTGTACTGGCAGCTGGCAGTGTAGTTTAGAGACAGATGGACTTGGGGTTCCTCATGTGCAGCATGGAAAGTAACGTGGTTCGCCTTACAAAGTGGTTGTGATTTAGCACTGACCTTGGTGATCATTCGATAAACGTCCGTTGTTACCGTGAGGAGGAGCCACCATCTGAAATCTTGCCAGTTTTTGCCACACGTGGCCTAAGAGCTCTGGTGGTGCTGTGGTTAAGCATTCTACAAACTACTCAAAAGGTTGGCGGTTCAAACCCACCGGCCCATTCCATGGGAGAGTGAGGAAGCAGTCGGTGGTCATAAGGATTTATGGTGTTGGGAACCCTCTGGGCAGTTCTCTGTCCTCCAGGGTTGTTTTGAGTGGATTTGACTCCGTGGTAGTGGGCTTTCTTTAATATGGTATGGGGTCCTGGATTGGCATTCTTGGACTGGAGATGGGGAGTGGGGAGGCAGGTCAGAAAGTTGTCTTGGCAGATGTGAACACCTGCTGTTACGTGTGGGTGTGTGGTGGGGGTGAAGGGTGCATGGCTGCTGTTAGATGAGGAAAAGGTGCCTCATTTTAGCAGCCTGGGATCTGCTGAGAGCTGGGCTGAGGCCAGTCAGTCAATCTCCCAGGCTATTCTGAGTTCCCTGCACCCTGGGGAAACACCAGCAAGTCCCCTCCAGCTTGTAGTTGGGCTGAAGGGACAGAATTAACAGCACAACAGGAAACAATGCACAATAGAATATAATTATGTGCTAAATTGTTAGGTGTTTTTTAAAGTCGCTAGAACCCTACCCTAGGAATCCAGCTCTGCTGAAGTCTCCTTTGTATCCTTGACCTAGGCCTAAGTTCCTCCACGTGCTTGGCTTGGCCTGGACGCTTCCCCAGAAAGCCAGCCCTCCCTGGGTGTTTGTCTGGGTGCTGTAGGAGCACTTGCAAGGCTGGGAGTGGTCAGGGAAGGCTTCCTGCAGGTCAGGGGCTAACAGTCATGGGCAGGCAGGCTTGACTGGAGAGGGAAAAAGTCCTGGTCCCTGACCTTGGGGAAGTCCTCTTTCCTCTCTGTGACCTCGTCTTTGGAATAGTGAAGATCTCTGCCCTACTTGTTTCACAGCGCTGTTCTGAAAGAAAACAGCATAGTAGACTTTGGACAAGTCATTGAACCTTTCTGAGCTGCTTTCCTCACCTATAAGGAGGGCTAATGATATTTACTTCCTAGGGTTGTATGAGGAATAAATAAGTGATAGATAATGTATGCAAAGTGATTACTTATTTGTGCAGTAAATGTTACTTGGACACTGAATATGCGTGGTGGTGTTTACGCACATGGACTGGACAGGTAAGGTAACCTGGATCACAGACCCCCAAGCCCACCTCAGGGCCCTGTCCTCACTCTAGTTCTCAATCTCTGCTGCAGTGTCCCTACCCGGTTTTAATAGAGAGTATCCTTAGCCCCTCTGGGTTTGTACCCACTTTTAACAATGGCCGGATTTCCACTGCCTCCGGCCTGGCTGTTTCCTGCCCACTTCCAGGGTGTGAGAGGTTGAGGGAGGAGGGGGCCTTGCCCTTAGGGGAACAGGGAAGTGCCTGGAAATAGTTGGAATGTGGGACTTGTGGGATGGGACACTTGAAGCCTCCAGGGCTCTAATTGTCAAGCAGAGACCTTCATTCTTGAGGGGAGAAGATAGGGTTGAGAGGAAAGTAGGATCTTGTTGAGGGCTGCGGAAGGTAGGAAGGAGGATGCTTAACTTCCCAGAGCCTTCCTAGCCATTTTAGGGACTCCGGGGACCGGCCCCCGTGCTCTGGTTGCCAGGGCAACTTCATTTTTTTTCTGAGCTTTGATGTTTCTAATCTCCCCCTGCCCTTCTTCAGCAGTGCCTCCCCCTCATCGGAGAATTAGGGAAAGAAAAGGCAGAAACCTGAAGGCCCCTTTGCCTGTCTAAGGGTCCCTTCTCTGTTCAGGCCAGGCCCGACTCTCAGGGCCCCCGGGGGCCACCATGCCGGCCGGGGGCCGGGCTGGGAGCCTAAAGGACCCTGATGTGGCTGAGCTCTTCTTCAAGGATGACCCTGAAAAGCTCTTCTCTGACCTCCGGGAAATCGGCCATGGCAGCTTCGGAGCCGTGTATTTTGTGAGTTGACACCTGGGATGGTGGGAAATCTGATTCCTTCCAGCATTCCCTCTGAGGCACTACTCTGCCACACCAGCCTTCCTTGCCTTCTCTTGGGCCAGGAAGTCTTCCTGCTGCCTGATTCTCACTGGAACGCTGCACTACCTTCCAATCTGATCTCCTAGGCCCGAGATGTCCGAAACAGTGAGGTGGTGGCCATCAAGAAGATGTCCTACAGTGGGAAGCAGTCAAATGAGGTGGGCTCAGCTACAGGAGACCAGGTAGGGGACCTTCGGTGTCAGGATGCAGGCTGAAGTGACCCCTCCTCCCCTCATCTCCCTCCAGAAGTGGCAAGATATCATCAAGGAGGTGCGATTCCTACAGAAACTTCGGCATCCCAATACCATTCAGTACCGGGGCTGTTACCTGAGAGAACACACAGCTTGGGTAAGGTGGCCTTCGGGCTTTGGCCTGATGTTTATCCTTAGTCTGGCCCATCTTTATCTTGGTCTAGTCTCTTCGGTGGATCCTATCAAGGATGCATTTGTGGGAAGTAGGGGAGTAGAAGTCTCTTGCTCTTAGGCAAACCCATGAGCAGCAGTGTCAGTCTAGGAAGAGAGACTGACTCAAGTGACATGGACTGCTAGTAGTTGGAAAGGGCACCTGGATCCGGGGAGGTGGTCATCGAATGAGACTTTTAAGAGATTCTGATGGGAGTACTGGTTCTTGGGGCGATCCAGACTCCAAAGACTCCTTTCTATCACCCCCCCCCCCCATCTTCTCCTCTTCCTCTCTATTACTGCCTTGGGGGCTGTGCCTGAATGAAGGATAGGCGGAGTAACTCTCTATTTTGAGTCCCTGAGCCAGGGGTGGCCAAAATCTGCTGACCTGTGACCCTTAATCCTTCCTTAGCTGGTGATGGAGTATTGCTTGGGCTCAGCTTCTGACCTGCTAGAAGGTAAGTTATGTTTTAGCAAAGCGGTGGGAGAAGAGCAGAGAAACTCAAGGGGAATTTTAAAGGGCAGCTTGCTCCTGTCACCCCTTTGACGCCCTCCTTCAGTTAATCTATTTATCCAACCCACCAGTGCACAAGAAGCCCCTCCAGGAAGTGGAGATTGCAGCTGTGACCCATGGGGCCCTTCAAGGCCTGGCTTACCTCCACTCCCACAACATGATCCACAGGTAAAGCAGGGCTGGTGCTCACTGGCAGGGGGTTGCTCTCTGTCCTCCTCCCTCAGCTGGACTTTTTCTGGGAAACTTAATTGTAAATGGAAGCCCTTGCCCAGACTTCCAGAGACCCATGCCTCATCCCTGAACTGTGCTTCTGGCAGGGATGTGAAGGCCGGGAACATCCTGTTATCGGAGCCAGGCTTGGTGAAGTTGGGGGACTTCGGCTCTGCATCCATCATGGCACCTGCCAACTCCTTTGTGGGCACCCCATACTGGTGAGTGGAGAAAGTTCCTAGGATGTGGGGGCCAGAGGGTTGAGGGAGATGACGAACCTCTTTCCCCTGGTCACTCTTCCAGGATGGCTCCGGAAGTGATTCTGGCCATGGATGAAGGGCAGTATGATGGCAAGGTGGATGTCTGGTCCTTGGGAATAACCTGCATCGAGCTGGGTAAGGACGCAGTCCTCTCTGCTCCCTCACCCTCTTTCCTCCCCAGACCTTTCTCTTTGTTACTATCTCCCTGCCATCTCAGCGTCTTCAGATTCCAAGTTCCTGTTTAATTTGCCTGCCCTAGATCCCCTCTGAAAGTAGCCTTCAAGTGCTGCTGGTTCTTAGACTAAAGATGTTCTAGCATTTCTCTCTTCCTGTTTCCTATTTTGATTTTTAACCTTTTCGAGCGCCCACTGTGTGCCAGGTTCTCTGCTAGCTTCTGGGAGTGTACAGTGATGAGAGAGACACAGTGCCTGCGCTCCCAGAATGTATATTTGGGTTGGGGAAGGATTCATGCTTTTTCTCTCTGTGATGAAAGCCAGCTGGAGAAGTTACAGGAACTGTAAAAACATTAAACGAAGGACTTAACCTAGTTTAGGGGCTGAGAAAGACCACATTGTAGCTGAGATGTTTAAATAGACCCAGAGGAAGATAGTAGTTAGTCAATGAAGAGTGTAGGCACGAGCATGCCAGATAGAGTGGATGGCACATTCAGAAGCTGAGTGCTCAGCGCAGACGTGGGAAACTGAGGCTAGCTTCGGTTGTGCAGAACATGATGAGTACTGCAAAGGGAAGGGAATGAGAAAGCCAGCTTAGAATAGGTTATGAGACCTTGCTGTCCTACACTGTTGAAACAACTAGCAAGTTGATCTTTGTAAACCACCCGACCACCCCCAGAGCAGTGCCAGGTACTGCAGAGCTACTGACAGATCATTTGGGTTTTGGAGGCTGTGTATCTTAATCAGGAGACTTTGCTTCTTTCTCTTTCAGAGCTGCTGGTGGATTTGAACTGACAGAAAGCCTTTTGTTAGCACAATTTACTGTATGCACTGTGCCTTCAGAGTTTTTTTCAGTCGCATTTAGTTACTCTCATTACAACTTTCAGCGGGTGACCTTGTGTGCCACACCTTTTCTTCTCCCTCCCAGTCTCTCTTGTACACTGATGTCAGAAAGATGGACCTGCGCTCAGTTTTATTCCCCTTCTCAGAACCATGGTAGCTCTTCACTGATCTGCATCCTTCCTTACCAAACACTAGAGACTTGTTTACGATGGGTAGGCTCTCCCCCTTCACAAGCTTCCTCACCTTGATTTGTATCCTCTCCTCCACCTGAGAAGAAAATATGGACACAGCATTTACCTCTTTCTACGCATGCAACTTATCATTTAAGGCAGGAAAAATATAGGTGAGAGAAGTGTATCAGGGAGGCCAGGTATTAAAAAATTTAGATTTTCCTGTTTTATTCCCAGTTTTGGGGAGGAATCTGGGTACAGAGAAATATTTCTTTATTACTGAAAAATCAAGTCTGATTATAGATGCCAGCTGATATTCAGAGATGTAGTAGGGGGTGGAGAAGATTGGGGCAAACTCTGCATTGTTCCTGTGGTGGTGGTGGTGGTGGTGGTGGTATGTGCCTTCAAGCCAACTATGGCTCATAGTGACATCGTGAACAATAACTCTGAACCCTGCCCTATCTTGAGCCAGTCTCACTGTTTCTTGAGCCAGTCTCACTGTTTCTTCAGCCATTCTCACTGTTTCTGACACATTGCCACAGTCGCTGTGTCAGTCCATTTCATCCAGGCTCTTCTTCTCCTGCACTGACACCCCCACACCTTTCCAAGCATGATGTCCTCCTTAAGGGTGGCTGTTGCTTAGTTCCAGCCCGCCATTAGCGTGAATGCAGATTCTAATGCACAAAATCCAGTTTTTTAAGAGAGAGAAAAAGTTTAGCTTATTCTTTAATAACTATAGGTGCCTAAGGTGTGGTGGTGTGTTTGTTTTTTAAATCATCACCATTTAAGCCAAAAATAATAATAAAACAAGGTATATGTTTGTCTGCTACAAAAGAACTTCCAGCTTTGCAAGCATAATGTCCTTTTCCAAGGACTGGTCCCTCCTGACATCATTTCCAGTCTAAGGCTTGGCTCTGATACCCTCTTTTCCAAGAGACCTTCATGAATTCCCTGCAGACACACTAGCCTGCCAGGCAGCCTTCCTACAAACTGTCAGCCTCAAGTCTCTTTCTTGTCTTCTCCTTGTGCTAATGAATGCTCTAACCTCCATGTTACTTATTTAGTCCTATTTAAGCTCCCTTAACGAATGGAAGTTTCTTGAGGGCAGAATCTGACTCGTTTTCCTTTGTCTTCTTCCTAACATTCTTTTCCCCCCTTTCTCAACTGGTATCTGATAAATGCTACTTGGACCACTGACTGACTATGTTCCTTCTGCTTCTTTTGTTGGTTTCCAGAACATTAATACATAAATTTTTTTAATGTAGCACTTTTACCAAGTGCATTACATGTAGCACTTTTACCGAGTACATTTACATTTTCGGGTATTTTCTTTGATCTTAGTTTTCATCCGCCTCCCCCCACAGTGCTACAGTGCTGAGGATGGTGTTGCAATTTACATCAGAAAGAATGAGTTAAGGCTCAACCATGGGAACTGTTAAAGGGACCTAAGGTTTGAACTCAGGTCTCCTGATTTCTATTCAAGTCTCTTCTGCCCACCTGCTCCCTCTCACTTTCTCCCCTTCAACTTTCTCTGTAGCGGAACGGAAACCACCACTGTTTAACATGAATGCGATGAGTGCCTTATACCACATTGCACAGAACGAGTCCCCTGTGCTCCAGTCAGGACACTGGTGAGGACTGGGATTTCTGGGCCCAGGGGTTAGAACATGGGCTAGGCTTTCCTAGCTTATGTCTTTCTCCTACCTGTGTCTTCCAGGTCTGAATACTTCCGGAATTTTGTCGATTCCTGTCTCCAGAAAATACCACAAGACAGGCCAACCTCAGAGGTTCTTCTCAAGGTGAGGGCTGTAGAGTTAGCATCCTCCTAAAGCCCCTCGGTGATAGTCTAGCTCTGTGTGTGTGTGTGTGTGTGTGTGTGTG